TTCCAAGATAAGTACGCAGTACCTACGAAAGGTTTTCGGGAAGGCTCCGCGATCGCGAGGTCAGCCAATGAGATCGCCAACCAGAAAGGAGAGACGATCCGGTTGCGATCTCATTGCTCGTTCGCGTCGCGATCGCGATGACTCCTCTATCTCGGAAAAGCAATAAAAGGAGAGCAATGAACAGACGAGGTTGGCGCCAGCGCCATGTGGCGGCCGTGCTTTGCTCTTCCCGGTGCTTGTTTCTCTCCAGAGGAGAGGACACGAGAAGAAGATAGAGAATATATAGTGGCGGAGAAATGGCGTTTATTAATACCGCAGAATCAAAAGTCCAGCGTACGTTATTCGATCCTTACGTGGAAAGAACGATTTTGTTAAAATATTTAATAATTTGTATTGTAGGTAATAGAGCTGAAAATAATTTTGAACCATCAAAATAATTATGTAGGAAATTCAAACGCGACGGGAAATGGTGCGAAAGTTTTGAGCATTTTAGCAACCAGTTTGAGCAGTTCTACACCATCATTATTTTGAACAGTCCAACAAAATTATTTTCAGATCTATATCTAATTAAATTTTTAGATGCTTCAGTCAAATCGTTCTTTCTGTGTAGATTTCTAGTCGGAAAATTATTATTTGCGCATTTTTCAATTATACTTTCATGCCGTTATAAATGAACATTTTCTTGTTCTATTTTTTCTTTTTTCTTGCCAGATTGTTTTAATTAAAATCAGAGTGTTAGAATAATTGGAGGATTCAAGAAAGACAGCTAATAAAAAAAAAGCTTGCTGGTCGACTTCGATTTCGAGTAAATACGACGCCGGGTGCCTCTTAAAGATGTTAAATGATTCCGATTCACAGTAATCGCATTCGGGAGATGAGATCGATGCAGTAAGATGGAGAGGATGAATGCGAGAACGAGACAGAGCAAAATGAAAGAATCGCGCCGGCTGCGGCGCAGGCGATCCGTGATCGAGAAATCCGATGCATCTGCAATGCTTGTCGTGCTCAATCAATTGCCACGTCAGCGATCGTCGGCTCGCTATAAATTATTGCTTCGATCGATGATGGTCAAATGAAACCGAACCGTTCGTTTGTGCTACCGGAATACCCGCGGAACGTTTCGCCGAATAATTTACGTATAATTGCGGGAAAAATGTCAAAGTTCGCACGTGGCTCGTGCGGATCGCGGAATTTTACGTGTCTCGTGGTCAGGAAATGTGAGAAAGGTCATGATATCGCAATCTACGCTCTAACGCCGGATAAAATTACGCACCGTCGTGTTTGCATACATATTTATTACACAAGACGATTATGTCAGCTGGTTTGATAATTCGCGCATTGCGTACAGCGATTCTTTACTCTTTGCACACTTTGCAAAACGTATATTGGCTCCAACTTTTTCAAGGATAGTTAGAAATTTACAAAAAAAAAAAGAAAAGAAATATACAATTTCTCTAAATTTCTTGGAGTGAATCTCACTAAAAAAAAAAATAAAATAAAATAAAAAAATAAATAAAAAATCTGCCGCTCCTATTCAAGAGTGCAAATATTTTCAATCCTGGCAGTATTTTCACTCGTTTGGAATAAGATTTCACTCCAAGAAATTTAGAGAAATTGTATATTTCTCTTCTTCTTTTTGTAAATTTATAACTATCCTTGACAAAGGGATTGGAGTCAATATACGTTTTGCAAAGTTATGCGAGTTAAGAATCGCATTCACGGAATCATTCACGGCCCCCTTCGAAATGGCATGCATCAGATGCTGAAAAGGGATGAGATAAAACTGCACGCGTAAGTCGCGCGTTGACAAGCGTCTTCCCCGGGAGGTACTAAAATCAGCGAAATTAGTCTTCGCCTTGGAATCCGAGTAGACTCCGGCCGGCGAAGCGGATGGACGGGACGAAAGGAGCAACGGCGGCGCAAGTATATTATAATCTTCTCTCGCCCGAGTCGAGTCCCTGCGCGCCAGATGGTACCAGCTGGATGACGCATCAAAGCAGAAAACCTCCCGCGTGTCCGAAGCGCGGTTCCGCCCACGGAATCGCGAGGAAAACACGTGCGCCTCCGTTGCTGCCGTCGTCGCCGCCACGCCGCGCCGCGCCGTCCTCCGTCAGGTTGCGAATAATCTCGTAATGCGAGAATTCGGTATTAGGATCTCGTAACGCGCCTACGTTATTGAAGAACATTATTTGTATCCACATGTTGTCCGCACGTGGACACTGGTGCCATATTAAATTTTAATAGCGAATTCCTCGAGCAATTTATCTTACATTAATCATAATCTGATTGGTTATATCAGTGAA